CTTTTTCCTTTATTTCTTGATTAGGTGCGTGAGTAATAAAATTATCAATCTCAAAATAAAAAAGCTAGAAAGTAAACCATACTTGTCCGGCTGCCTGCTCGGACTCGTGTATAGATGCAGTAAAATTTTGATCGTTAAAAACAATGCAATAATCAAGTATGCTTATTTATTTAAAATTTATAAAATGGGATTAATGTAATATAATATTTTCATATAAAAATCAGTAATAAACAATGTTATTTTTTTTAATGCACAGTGATAAACAATAGTATTACACTTCCTCCGTTTCTAAGCATAAAAAACTAGTTAAAGACAATAAATAGATAGAAATTGAAAGTACTTATTTATGAAAGATAGAGAATGTGGATGGAGAGAGATGATGGTTTAGAAAATAAGATAATAAATATATTGGGTATTAAAATAAATAATTAATAAGGATAAAATAGAAAATTTGTTAAAAATTTAAGATAATTTGTAAATGTTGTTTATATTTAAAGATAAGAGAAAAATGATAGCTGTTGCTTATAAAAATAGAAGGAAAGAGTATTATTCGTAGTTGTCACTTATCAGTAGACAAATATAACCCCTAACCCTTTCCTTCTTCCTCTCTCTTTCGGGTACGTGAGGGTGAGACTATTTCCGTGAGCCAGTATTCACCCGAATGTTTCTTTTGCCAAGTTAATAAGTCAGTCTGTTTAGTTTCAATGCCTATCGCAACATATTAATTAGTAGCCAGCGGATATTACAATCTTCACGCTAGCTAGGTGCGCCTGGATCCTAAAGACTCGGCGGAAGCTAGTCGTAGACGTTGACCGTTTGTTTGACTAATAATGTACATCTGGCTCCTCCTTCAGTCTACGAGGCTCCCCTCCTCTGTGACCACAAAACCAAAACTCCCAGAGGCCCGGCAACCGCCGCCGCCTAGCTCGGCATACCAGCGTCATGACAAAACCAAGCTTCTTCAAACTCAAGGCGCCCCTCCTTCTTGTGCTTGGTTCGGATCTCTACAACCTCAGCGATGGAACCCGAAAATCTAACCAACACAGTCTAAAGCTAAAAACACTCCGCCCTATTATATAATCCGTAGCAATTAGACAATTAATTTATAAAAAGTTAAATTAGTATTTATATAAAATATTTGTTCATTTTTTAATAATATTCTCCTATATATTAATAATATCTTTTCATATGTCTCTTCAACAGGTATAATCTAAAAAGCTTATAAAATTTGAAGACAGAATAAATTAAAATATTACATTTAAAATAAAAATAAATTTGTGTTTAAAACTGTATACTGTGCTAGAAGGAGGAGTTTGGTGACCCTGACGCAGACAGGAAAACTGAATTATGCTGTGGAATTTCTAGAGAGAGGCCAGGTGAAAAGCGTGGGCGGCACCCTGGGCGGTCCAAGCGAGACGGTGTAAACACGTGGAAGCAAAATTCACGAAGAACGGCCGAATGGTGAGCACGCGTCAGATGATGTGCGGTGCTAGTCACTCACCGGACTCCAACAAGCCAAAGAAAGATCCAAACGGTCGACTGTGGATTCTGGAAGGTACACGTGGCGAGGAAGCACGACTCGGCTCCGCACCATGTTCCCCATCATGAATGTGTTTAATACTTCCACCGCTTAAGAGTAGTGATAGTAATTTGTATAAATCAGTAAGCCTCGTTAATTTTTTGGATTTGGGTCCTCTAATTTTTTTTGTTTTTCTGGCAAGATATTCTGTTAACTGAAACATGGAAAACATGTCCCCTTTTTACATTATTATCATTCATTCAAAAAAAATCATATGTACATATATTACTTTGATCTATAAGGCAAATGGAAAATGAGAGAAATAGAGTCGGAGAGCATCAGATTTGTTGAATGCCAGCATGGTGTACATTAATGGCCGACATGGTGATTTAACTAAATCGAAATGAATTGATCAGCAGTAAGCCCGCTGGCAAGGGGAGAGGCATTATCTCAGGGACCTAGCGGGGACGCTCCAGCTGTCCCAATCACGTCCTTGTCACTTGACTTTCCCTTCCACCCAGGGCACCGCCCCCGGCCCATCCCTCCGCATTTATGTTGCTGCAGCCTGCAGATAGGAAATCAGAGGCCCTTGGATCCGTCCTCCACTCTTCCTCCCTATTGCTCCATCGTCAATACATTCGATATCACTATCATATCACTTGCATTGATCATCATTGATGTTTTCATAAATGACACGTCTGAAATAATTCCTATAATTTCTCTGAAAACTATGCTTAGGGTGTGGGTCGTGGCCTTCGACAATCGACGCCTCTCATCTTTTCTTTCCATTTTCTTTTTTTTAACTATTAGATTAATATATTTAATTGTTTAGATTTTAATTTTTTATAAGCTATTTATAAAAAAAATTTAAAACATTTAGTGCATTATAAACCATTAAAATTAAATTTAATATAATTTATAATTTAATATTTTAATAATAGTTTTAAAAAGATTTAAACCTAAAGTGTTAAAATATTAATCTTATGATTAAAAGAAGAAAGGAAGAGGAGGGGTCTGAAGCAGTGAGTCGTGTGTACTTCCTTGTTTCAATCCTTATATATCAAATTGGGAGCTATAACTATGATTTTTTAGTTAATCTTTGAGACCTGCGTGTGGCGCCGGGTTTTATTTATCTGAAGAAGAATATATAATCAAAAGATTGATGCGACGACAATAAATTTGGTGAAGTGAATTTATAGATCATGATAATATTAATTTTAATAATTAATATAAAAACTAAATAACTAATTTAAAAATTTAAAAAAAATTAATTTAGTTAATTATTTCTCATAAATATGTGTTGATTTTCAATTATTTTCTTTTAATAATGTGGTAATGAACTTCTTATAATTAATAATAATATTTTAAGATGAGGTACTCAACGAGCTCAAGTAGATGAAGTAGCAGTATAGTAGCTGTGATGTCATAAATATGGGCTTGGTGAGGTTAAGGTTTAATCGAGGAAAAATAATAATTAATTTTTTTTGGCCAAACAGGACAAATAATAATTAATGGAAAACGAGAAAAGACTAAAAGAGGAGTGACCAGATGTGGCAATGGAGCTGCTGTGGAGGAAGAAGGACCAGCCATGTTCTTCGGGTCCACACACTTCTTATGCACCACAAACACACCTTCCGTCGTCAAAGTACCCTTTTGTCCTTCTCTTCCCCATTTAATTACCTTTTCTTTGTGGGGGGGAAAAAAAAGTTGTCTTTCTCACTGCTGAACCAGGTACGCTAATTGTGTAACAAGCCATAATTAAAATAAAAGTGTTAGCGACGCTTCATTTTCTTCCCAGTTAGACAACTTTTCTTGTGCCCCAAGGCCCCAAACCCAATTTCTGCGATGATATATATAATAATGTTACCAACCCATGTGGATATGGTGGGGAAAAATGTCACACCTGTACTAAAAATTATATAGCCAGTCAACAATTAAGAGTTACTCCTCTGATCCTTAATATAGAACCTAATTGTTGAGTTAGTTTTGGTTCTAAATATAAGACCTATTTTCTCATATTATTTATTAATTTTTTTTTAGATTACCCTATACTCTCTCAACTATAATCAAGTAGAAAAAAGAGAACTATTAAGGAAGATAGCTATAGTGTTTTAAGGAAAAATATGTCATATTTTTTATAATTAATTAATTTACCCAACTTTCTTAATCTAATCAAATTAGTTAAATAAATCTTATATTAAGATGGAAGAAGGAGTATTTTTTTTTTCATCACATGCACACAAACCCTCAACACCTAAAAGCTAATCAAATTCAACATCATGTATATATCAGCAACGGGAAAGTGGGACGGAATATTTTTACGTTCCGTGAAGAATTTTGATGGCTAATGTAAAAGCATGCATGCAGATATGCTTGTGAGAAAGAGAGAAGAGAGCAATGAATATATATATATATAGATATATATATAAAGCGATACATATCATTAATTGTTTTAAATTACATCATGGCTTAAGCAATAATTCATCAGTGTATTGAAAATCTGAGCACGTGAGTTCTTCTAATGAACAGCCAGAGTTGAGTGATTATTAACAGGGCAACATAGATTAATGTTTCAAGTCATACTTATTTAATAAAATATCAATCAATCAAAATCTATAACAAAAACCAGCAATATTCTCTAATCATGGCCTATTCGTAATGCAACACACTGCCCAGCATAACGAGGATATATGGAATTTAAATAGAATTATACCTTTCATGAAAGGTTCGAAGAAAATTTCTCATAACTGCAAAGTATAGTCTCGCGCTTAAATGATGAAAATAGATATGTAGAAAGGACAAGGAAATAAAGGAAGTTGACAAGCACACTATGACACAGCCAGCACGTACGCTTTGTCCTTTGGCAGTATAACATTACACAAATGGTATAGGAAACGCGAAATGTTAGGGATCTATAACTGGGAAGGAAACATGTACACGCCTATTTGGAAGCAAAAATCCAAGAACCCTAGCTTCCCTCTCGTTCAGGGCAGCCTCGGATGGAAACAAAACCTCAAGAGGCAAAAATTGCCAGGTCGTCATCTTCTTCATGGTTTTTGTCTGCATTTGATCTAACCCCATGCATGCACACAAGGTTAAAAAAAACTAGTAATAACTCATTATTAATACCAAACGTACGCGTGCATGCATGCCAATAATATATCAATCATCTAATCCAACCTAACTCTCCTTCCTCCTCAGAATAAGAATGCATATGGAAAATGATAACTGAGGAACACGTTAAACCTCAGACACGTGTACGGCAAAGAAGGGACGTGGAATGAATGAGAGGTGATGGCGAGGGGTGATTAATTAATGTGCATCTATCTATCTCTACGTAATTAACAGGTGCGATACTTATCAAGAATTGAATTATATGGGGTTCACATTTGCTGGCTGTGACAGGAACAAGGGTATTCTGGTAACTGTATGTGGTTGGCTGTCTCTTAATTGCTTATATATATATAAGGAGGGTGTGTTATGATGAGTCATCAATGTGCTACACAGTCCACATGATGGAGCAACTGGTTCATTCAATTTATTATTAGCTTGTATGGAGCAACGACGACGTTCCCATTCCGTATAGGTATAGGATCTCTTAAAATTAGCCATCTCTCTGTCGTCCAGAACTCGTCTTCCACTTCACGACGAACTTCATTATTTTTCGCCAGAAACGGTATGGCTAAACTCAACTATATTCCTCTTGCACTGCTTGCTGTTCTGCCATATTTATATGTATAGTATTCAAAAGTCTCTTCGAAATTGTTATATCTTCTCATCTTTCATGGCCGCCAATCATATTTTCAGTAGCAGAGACTGTTACATCATGTATTGGATATGCATATCTGGATCCCACTGTGTCAGAAACATTATCTCCTACGTGCTGATTATTATTTATTATGACCTCATCCTGGTCCCTCCTCATTTTTGTTTTTCTTAAAAAAATTCCCCTAGATAGCCCCGGCCGGAAAATAGTTATATAGCATATATAGCAGTTTCCGGCATGGACTTAATTGCAATCGAGTCAGATAACTATAATTTACAGTGTGTTTAATTATTTCCACGTAATATGACATGACAATCAAAATAATCGAGAGTATCAAACCCTAGAACAAATGCATTCCCTGTAACTCAAGTGCTGGGCACTAAAAATGTTAAACATTTCTTTCTTAATTAATTAACAGTTTTGCACAGCCTAATTTAGAGATGGGACTAATTTTTGTGAAATATGATGAAAGTGTGAAGATCATCAATAAGAATGGAGAAGACAAATTCGTGTGGGTTGGCGAGGACGAAATCGGAGCAGCTAGTGGAGACGGTGGTGGCGGCGCTGAAGCCGGCGACGTCGAGCGATTCGATGAACGGGATGATGGATAGTGGGGGAAGCGGAGGAACACTGTCGAGGAAGTCAAGTAGGAGGATGTCGCCGGGAGGGAAAAACAGCCACATAAGGAAGAGTAGGAGTGCTCAGATAAAGGTGGATTTGGATGAAGTGGGCAGCGGCGCCGCCCTCAGCCGAGCTTCCAGCGCCAGCTTGGGCCTCTCCTTCTCCTTCACCGGCTTCACGCTCACTCCTGATGAAATCACTGACTCTAAGCCATTCAGAGACCAAGACATTCGTAAGTTCCTCTACTCTTCACTCTCCTTTTAAATTTTCCCCTCTCAGGATTCTAACCATCGTTACATGAACCTCAATCCAAAATTGCAATTATCTTCATTTTCTCGTGGATATGGTTATTGTTCCCACATGTTTGATTAATTAATGAAGGATAGTAAGTGAAAAAAATCAAACAAAATACTACATTTGATCTTTTAATATAAGACCTTGTTTGATTTTTATTTTTATCCTAAATATAAGACCTCAATCCACTTTGTTTCTCATATTTATATATTTTTTTTCAAAATAGTCTTTCTAGTAATAGTAATTCTAACCAATACACTTGATTAGTAAAGATATATTAGGAAAGACAACATATATTTAGGACAAATAACTAACTCAACTTATTTTCTTAATCTCTTCAAATTAGTTAATTAACTCTTATAATTAGGACCGGAGGTAGTATATTATATTATGAAATATGTTGAAAGTTGTTATAATATATATATATGTATACTCTCCCGGTCCTTAATATATGACTCAATTCTTGAGTTGGTTTCGGTCCTAAATATAAGACCCATTTCTTATATTTATCAATTTTCTCTAAATTACCCCTATAGTTACTCCCTCAACTATAATCAAGTAAAAGAGAGAGAGGTGGTATTAAGAAAGATGATTATGGTGTTTTAGGAAAAATGTGTCACTTTTTTTATGATTAATTAACTTACCTAACTTCCTTAATCTAATCAAATTAATTAAATGCGTCTTATATTAAGGACCGGAGGAGTATTATCGTTTGATACGGAAAAGTACCACCCCACACCCAATGGTCCCTGTCCGTAGCTGAATAGAATTCACGAGGCAGTGCTAACTAATTCCCGGGGAAAATGCAAAAAACTTTAATAATAAAACTGCGCAACGGAATTATTTGTCTTCAACATATAACATGGGTACGGAGGTACCATTTCTACGCTAAAGGTCTGTTTATATGTATGTTATATCTACAGGCTCTTTAGTCATCATCATATGCAGGTTATAATTTTTAATTGTCTTCTATTATAATTCTTTTGTCGGTAGAATCAGGCCACATTATTTTATATATTATTAAAAAAAAGAGACATGAGTCCGGCCAAGCCCCAAGGCCAATAGAAATGCATGATTGGTGAGGTAGGGGGTCAAAAATCGAGTGATTCAGGTAGTTCCCAGCACAAGAAGGACCAGAACAGTACCAAGAAGCTATGGTTTTAATGGCAGAAATTAGTCTCTCACACTAAAAATTTTATATTTAGTACACAACAGTGCTTTTTGAACAAAAATGTTTTTAAGAAAAGGATTGCCTGTGCGGGTGTGCCCGTGAAAATTAAAGAGACCAAGAACAGTACTTCATGTGCACCACTTAAGTGCTTGTTTTGCTGCTGGTCCCGCAAGTAAAGTATGCCCAGAGGAACATCCTGTGTTCCCAATTCTCATTGGTCATGGGTCAACTAGATCGCTGCTTGCTGAATTTTCTTGCTGCGATAAATTAAGACTATTTAATACTGTTGTTGCTTTCATTAGTATGAGGGAGCGCTAAGAAGGAAGCATTCAGAGGGCAATAAAAGCCAGGCGTACGTGCTTATCTTAACTGTTTGCCTGTGTCGAAACGGAATTGTAGAATGACCTCTCCTTTCAAACTTATTACCATCTAGAGTCTTTGTCCGATAGGCTGCTTCATGTGCACCACTTAAGTGCTTGTTTTGCTGCTGGTCCCGCAAGTAAAGTATGCCCAGAGGAACATCCTGTGTTCCCAATTCTCATTGGTCATGGGTCAACTAGATCGCTGCTTGCTGAATTTTCTTGCTGCGATAAATTAAGACTATTTAATACTGTTGTTGCTTTCATTAGTATGAGGGAGCGCTAAGAAGGAAGCATTCAGAGGGCAATAAAAGCCAGGCGTACGTGCTTATCTTAACTGTTTGCCTGTGTTCGAAACGGGAATTGTAGAATGACCTCTCCTTTCAAACTTATTACCATCTAGAGTCTTTGTCCGATAGGCTGCTCTCGTGTTCTATTAACTGAGGAGTATAAAAATTAGTTTTATATTTAATTTGATCTTAAATACAAAATCTCAACTTATTTAATCTCTCATATTTATCTATTTTTTTAAAATAGTTTTTATAGTAGTGTACATGTTAAATTTTTATCAAATAATAATTCTAACTAATACATATGATTAATAGGTTATTTTAGGAAAGATAATATTTATTTATTACAAATAACTAACTTAATTAATTTTTTTAATCTATTTAAATTAGCTAATTAGTTTTTAGATAAGATATTGGAAATAGTACTCTTCCCATCATAAATATAAGACCTATTTTATAATGTAAAATATATTATAAAATAAATTTTATACTTAAAACAGGTGAAGTAACATTTTCATCTCACAACGATCAAGTTGCACTCTGGACCAAGAACAATAAAAACGATCAAGTTGCACTCTATTGTCTTTTTCTCGGACTACCACAGCCTCCTTTGACTTTTCAGACAAAACCCCCGTACCTGCCTGAGGGCCCCTCTCGTTACGCCGTCGATCATCTTCGTGTAGAGGATTTTACTGCGTTGCTTGCAGTACGTGGTTACTACTTCTGGTTCCACAGACAACAAACAAAATTTATAATTAGAATCTGAAGTAGTATTTTAAAACCGAGTTTGGAGATTTGACAAGATTTATATATAATTGTTCTCACTAAACATTTTTAAAATGTAATTTCCCATTATTTTTAGTTTTCATTTTCACAATTATAATTTTAAACAAATTAATGATCTGAATCTGATTACTCCACCTGGTAGCAGAAAAATTGACCCGTTCAGATCAGAAATATCTAAAGATGAATTATTAGTCAAAACTAAACAATAGGTAGCTAGTTCAGCAAAAAAAAAAAAAAAAAAAATCAAGGTAACGTCCGAGCCCTCTTGCTACCATTATTATTATTGCTGTCCCCTCTGTTTTCCTGTTTTTCTCATTTCTTGTCGATCTCTATGCCTATTTTGTGGGAGGACATTTTGTCTCACTGCTGGGCCCCTCATTAAAATTAAAATCGACCTCTGTTAGCTTTGCTTACTGTGTCTCACTGTCTTGTCTTCTGATCAAGTGTCTTACTTCAGACTTTTCATCAGCTCATATACATAGAGCGAATTGGACTTGTAGGGAATCACACATAGCATTCATGTTATGAGAAATGGGAGAAAGCCGTGATGAAACTCCTTTATGAGCAGTTTTCATTATCTTACTGATATTTTTTTTCCCTGCTAATTAAGGAGATCACCACCACACATATATTTCGCTGACATACTTAAAACACGCATCATATGTGTACACTTACACTGTACTGAGCAAAAATTCTAGCTGCCTGGAATAGAATTCAAGGCTTCTGCTGAAGGATCTTCTTGTTCCCTCCTTGTGTTGTTTAAAAAGGATTGCATATGTATATTGCAGCGGAGGATATTGAAGCGGGAACTTGCCACCTCAAGTTTCAAACGGAACCCACCTTGCCTATTTTTCTCAAGGTAAGCTTCTCTTCTCTTCTCTTCTCGTCTCTTCTCTTCCCTTCCATTAATTTTCCACGTCTACACCTATGTACACCTCCCTGCCAGGTGTTCAAGGCTTCCATAGCGCGTAAGATTTGATGTGTTATGCCATGTATTTGGGCAGGAAATTGAGGGTGAAGCTTCATTTAGCAATCAACGCCTCCAATAGAAACATGGCTATAGCAATAGCATGGTCAGGTTGAGTCTTGTACAGAGTTTCATTTCATATGACATTGATGTACAAGACTACCTTTCTTTCCTGTTAACCATGAGTAGTTAGCGTCACACACATTAGTTTCTTGCATACCTCGAAGATATAGGTTCGGGTTTGGAACCCAGCTGGTTTTGGAACTGCAAAACAAGGTTTTGCTGAGAAAGAAGGGTGTGTAGCAGTATGCATAGCTAGTTAACAAGAAAATTAAAGATGTCTTGGTGCATTGAGCTCAACCTTGATGCTTAATTCAACAAACTGAATTCTTGTTTTGTAATGTGCAGTTCAAGGATGTGAGCTACAAGGTGGTGATCAAGGGCATGACAACAAGTGAGGAGAAGGATATCTTAAATGGGATTACTGGTTCTGTGAATCCAGGTGAAGTTTTGGCACTGATGGGACCCTCAGGGAGTGGAAAGACTACCCTTTTGAATCTTCTGGGAGGGCGATTGATTCAGTCCACTGCTGGAGGTTCTATCACTTACAATGACCAGCCATATAGCAAATATCTCAAAAGCAAGATAGGGTTTGTGACTCAAGATGATGTTCTGTTTCCTCACCTCACTGTAAAAGAAACACTTACGTACTCAGCCCGTCTGCGACTCCCTGATACATTCACTAAGGACCAGAAGGAAAAACGAGCCTTGGATGTCATCTATGAGCTTGGCTTAGATAGGTACTATTTCCATGAAATGCATAGCAGCAGTCATATAAATGTGTGTGTGTGTGTGTGATTAAATTATGGGCTGTGACGGATGATGCTCTTATATCATGTAACTTAGATGCAAAGACACTATGATCGGTGGCTCCTTTGTTCGTGGGGTATCTGGAGGAGAGAGGAAAAGGGTTTGCATTGGTAATGAGATTATAATCAATCCTTCGCTTCTCTTTCTGGATGAGCCAACTTCTGGTTTGGATTCTACGACAGCCTTGAAGATCGTTCAGATGCTACAAGACATAGCAGAGGTACTAATTACTATTATTCTAATCCTTTCCCTTCAGGACCAATGAAATTTCTTGGCAAACTATTAACAAAATACTTCAATTTGATGGCAGGCTGGTAAAACGGTGGTGACAACAATTCACCAGCCATCAAGCAGATTATTTCACAAATTTGATAAGTTGATCCTACTGGGAAAAGGCAGCTTGCTTTACTTTGGCAAAGCATCTGAAGCAATGCCTTATTTCCAATCCATAGGATGCTCCCCTCTTATTGCCATGAACCCTGCAGAATTTTTGCTAGACCTCGCAAATGGAAACATAAATGATGTTTCTGTACCTTCTGAGTTAGAGGATAAAGTGCAGATGGAAAATGCAGAAGTCAAAACAAAGAATGGGAAGCCATCACCAGCGATGGTACAAGAGGTCAGTTATCATTTTATTAGAAAGGAAAACTTGAGACTACAGATTTTCTATTTGATTCTGAATAAATTAATTATGCGAAGCAGTATCTAGTACAAGCATACAAGACTCGAGTTTCTGAAACAGAGAAGAGAAAGCTAATGGTGCCCATCCCTCTTGATGAATCACTGAAGTCTAAGGTTTGTTCTCCTAGAAGACAGTGGGGGACAAGGTGGTGTGAGCAGTATTCCATACTGTTTTGTAGAGGAGTAAAAGAACGGAGGCACGACTACTTCAGCTGGTTAAGAATCACACAAGTTCTCTCTACTGCAGTCATCTTAGGATTACTCTGGTGGCAATCAGATGCTAACAATCCAAAAGGTCTTCAAGACCAGGTAAGCAAACATGAATCTTCTTACCTTAAAGTACAAGATGGGTCATTTTTTACTTCTCTATAACCTTGACTCCTCTGCATTTACAGGCAGGGTTACTTTTCTTCATAGCGGTGTTCTGGGGATTCTTTCCCGTGTTCACTGCAATATTCACATTTCCTCAAGAGAGAGCAATGTTGGCAAAGGAGAGGGCAGTTGACATGTACAGGCTAAGTGCATACTTTGTGGCTAGGACTACAAGTGATGTTCCACTGGACTTAATACTGCCAGTACTGTTCCTGCTGGTTGTTTATTTCATGGCCGGTCTGAGACTAAGTGCCGAGTCATTTTTCTACAGCATTCTCACTGTCTTCCTCTGCATTGTGGCGGCTCAGGTACACATTTATGCAAATACATAGAAGGCAACACTATAAACAAAATAACCTCAGATTCTAACCATGGTTGATAACAAAGCAGGGGCTTGGACTCGCTATTGGGGCCACACTAATGGACTTGAAGAAAGCAACAACTCTGGCTTCAGTGACTGTGATGACCTTCATGCTGGCCGGAGGATTTTTCGTAAAGGTAAGCTTACCCTTCTCTGTTTTATTTCTCTTGGGTTGCAAAATCTTCAATTCATTTGATTAACCCATTTATGCGCTCTTAAATGTGGCAGGAAGTACCGAAATTCATATCGTGGATTCGGTACATTTCGTTTAACTACCACACATACAAACTTTTGCTCAAAGTGCAATACGGAGGCCTCTCGAGAGGCATAAATGGGATGAGAATTGACGATGGTTGGACAGAGGTCGGTGCTCTGATAGCAATGGTTTTTGGTTATCGTTTATTAGCCTACCTTTCGTTGCGGCGGATGAAGCTTCCATGCGGAGCTTAGAAGGAACGTCATAGATTGAGTTGCTAGGATTTTCATCAAATAGGGTGAAATGCCGAACGAACGTCAATGAAGCTTCTGCTCTTTAGTTTTCTCAACATAATATGTTTCTATGGTGCTGAAACCTGAAATCCCAAAATAGCAAATTAGATGTCAGAGGCTGCAAAATCTCAGACAAGCTTTTGCCTCGTCCATGCCTCTGTATATATCCGTACCTATCATTCCTAGTAAGTATTAAATCAACGAGAGGATGCCATGCCACATTTAGCTACCTTTCCCGGCCTTGTAAATGAAAATTTTATTATTTCTACTTTTTTATTTATAATTATTAATAACAGTTTAACATAATTTGATAACATGATAAGGTTGGTATATAGCAAACTATTTTTTTGAAATAAGATAATTATGTGCCTTTGCTTTCTACTACCTCTTGTCCTAGTTATAAGATTTTATTTATAGATTACAAATGAGATCTTATCATTAAAACCGGAGATAGTATTTAATATGAGATGAGATGAGAGTTTTAAATTGTAATATTTCGCATATAAATAGATAATAATATTACTTTCTATCTTCAGAGTTAAATAATTAATTTAAGAAATTAAAAAATTAGTCAAGTAACTTATTTATAATAAATAAATTTTTTTTAAATATTTAACTAATTTTTATATTAAATATTAAAAATAGTGTGATCGTGCACATGGTATTCTGAACACTTTCAATTATTATTGGGCCAGGTGAAGATTCTAGTGTTCAAAATTTTATGTTTTTAATGTGATAATAGTTTTAGAAAATACGTAAAATTATTATGATAAAATATAAATAATTTATTTGTAAAATTATAAAATTAAAATATTTGTTACGGAAAAAAATTTGAAAACACATTGTAGATAAATTTGAAAACACGTTGTAGATAAATTTGAAAACACATTGTAAATAATTAATTAAATATATATAATCGACAGACATTAATATAAATTAAAATTCATTTAGTCTAAATAAAACCTCATTATGCTGACGAAAGAGATGAGGCAAATGAGAAAATATGAGGGTAAATCTGCGATGCTCATTTTTAATGACTACCGTTTGAAACTGCAGTTTTAAAAAATCAAATTTTTTTATTAAATCCACCTGAAATAAAGACCAAAAGTTGATTAGGTTTTTTACCCCAGTCAAACAACTATTTGTGTCTAACTCAGTTGTTTCACATTTTCTCATGAGCTTTTGCCGTTTGCAATCCATCAAAGTCTGAAAAGCAAAACCTCCGCTGGGTCTCATGTTGTGCTCTTTCCTGCAGAGAAAATTGCCCACCTTCTCCAGGGTAATCTGGGCCAGCCCCTCGTTTCCTCTTTCGAACTTAATTAAAAATAAAAATTTAATTTCACCTATTATTTATATTGCACTTTTCATTTACTTATTCCTAACAGTTGCTTTTCAGTTTTGTTTTTCCATATAAATAGAGCAGATATTTTTCACAATTAAATATTATCTTTTCAAATATAAAATAATTATCAATTGCATTTTTGGCCACTGCAAACTTGACAATAGATTGGCTTTAAGTTCTACTATAAACAGATTGCAAGAAAAACATTACTCCATTTGATCTTAAATATGAAAATAAAATAATAATTTATACATATTAAAAAATAATTAAGTTAGTTATTTATAATATATGTGTTTATTTCTTTAGAGTACCTTCCATCATCAATTTTATTGATGCAAATCTTCTCGTATATATAACTACTAATAGGAATAATCAAGAAAAATTATAAAACAAAATCTATTCAAATTTGGGAGTCTATGGGGAGGGATGGAATTTAAATACATCGTCTCCGTAAGATCGAGATAGAATTTTTGAGTTAGCAACGGAAAAAAATGGATAGATATACTTAATTATTGAAAAAAATCATAAAAAAGACATTGGAAACAAAAAAAATCATAAATAAGGACCCATTACAATATTAATACTGGTTTTGATAACAATCTATAAGCAAATGACAATAATTTTTGTGAATAGGTTTATATATGTAATTTTTTAATTTTTAAAGTCTTTTTTTTTTTTGCAATTTTTCTTAATTATATTTAATATTTTTTATATTTATGCGTGCTTGTCTTTTCTCTCATGAAAGAAGCGCCAACGAATTTGGATCCGATTCTTCGTTCTCGCTTGATCACTACCAATTCACCTTCCGCCTCTCAATTACCTTCTCCCAATCCTTCTCGTCTTCCCAAACATCTGAACCACTTGCAGGTAATCTTATCCCACCTAATAGTCTGTAAACACCATTTTCTTCTGTCCTGTGATTCAATTCCTGGCATTCTTGTCGATTTGCTTTAGAATTGGAATTTGAGTTCGATCGCTTCCTTTAGTTTAGCCGTTTACTTTGTTGTCGGTTTCTCTTTATATGCATCTAGGTAGAATGGGAGGTCCTAGAAGTGAATTTGGCTTCCGATATAACACGACTCCCTCCTGGACAATTAGAAAGCTCCTCTCCGAGGCGAACGAATTTACTTACATAGGTTTTACTGGAGTCGGTGCAGTTTATGAGATTCATTCTCCGTAATAGAAATGACTTCCTTGTAGCTTATTAGTGTCTTAGCAACGCTCTGATGCTTTTTTTTACTGGCTTCGAAAAGTTACATTGGTTATAGAACTTTTTTATTACTGTGGAAGGGGTTATGGGTCTTGCTATTTTTTCTTCTAAAGAAAGTTCTGGCAATTTTTCTGATATGGATGAACATGCAATTTTCCACGCTAAATATTCAACATTCTCTTTAATCTTATCCACTGTCAGGATATAAAGATTACCAGATAAATTATCTTTTGCAGGGGACAAAAAAAAAAAAGAAAGAAGAAAAGGAAGGAAAAAAAAAATCCAGCATCCTTCTTTAATTCAAAAAGGTAAACGATAATATTTGTTCCATCTAGATATATGGTGTTTATACCATGCCAGATAACTAATCATCACAGGAGTTTATGTTACATATAAAAATAAGGGGAAAGCAACGTTGTGAATGTGTCTATTGACGTAGGCACAAAAAATATGGGGTTACCTTGTTGAGATGAATACTGAAGCGGTGTGTACTTACAGGATCGAATTGGGGATTGATTGACTAACATGGATAGGCTAAAGTCTTCTGCACGTCTCATGATTGTCTCAGATCTTGATCACACAATGGTATGTTTTATATTTGTCAGTCTTTGCAGCTCTGATGCTTTATTATGTTTTTAAAATGATTTATTTGGAGAATATGATCTACTTGTAGGTTGATCACCATGATGCTGAGAACCTTTCCCTCCTCCGCTTTAATGCTCTTTGGGAAGCGTATTACCGTCATGATTCTTTGCTGGTTTTTTCAACTGGAAGGTCACCTACGCTTTACAAACAATTGAGGAAGGAAAAACCCATGATAACTCCCGACATAACCATAATGTCTGTGGGAACTGAGATAACTTATGATAAATCAATGGTGCCAGATGACGGATGGGAAGAATTTTTGAATCAGAAATGGGACAGGAACATTGTCATTGAGGAAGCAAGCAAATTTTCTGAACTTAGTCGTCAGGTATAATATACAGTTAATGACAGTTATTGATTGGTTGTTGTCTGAGGTTCGGCTGTTGATATTTGGTATGACTTGTTAGATCCCCCTACAAAATTGCTTCGCTTAGTATCATTAAATGAATTGATACCTAATGGAGGTCCTTTCTGAAATAATTGGTACTGCAGGCAGAATCAGAGCAGCGACCCCACAAAGTAAGCTTTTATATCAAGAAAGATAAGGCTCAAAATGTGATAGAAGCTCTTTCTGAGACATTGCGAAAGCGTGGGGTAAAGATATGACTCCTTTCTTACAATTGTTTTCTTCCCCAGTACAGGAATCCTTATTTCTCATCAAGTAATTTGTGTATGCGTTGTATTAGCACTGAACTAACAATTGTTTTTTTCTTCTAATATTACAAATTAAATAGTTTCGTATTGTTGCTTCACATTTTGGCAGTTGGATGTTAAAATAATATATAGTGGAGGAATTGATTTGGACATATTACCACAAAGCGCTGGCAAAGGTCAAGCTCTTGCATATCTGCTAAAAAAATTTGAAACTGAGGGAAAGCGTCCCATCAATACACTTGTTTGTGGTGACTCTGGAAATGATGCGGAGTTATTCAGCATTCCAGGAGTCTATGGTGTCATGGTTGGCGGTTCTATTTGTTTACGGCCATAAATTTCCTAATCATGTTAGTTTTGATTTGTCAGTGACAATATCTTTTGCTCAGTCATTTTCGTTCATTATGTAGGTGAGCAATGCCCAAGAAGAGTTATTGCAGTGGCATGCCAAAAATGTGAAAGACAACCCCAAGATTATCCATGCCACAGAGCGATGTGCATCTGGGATTATACAAGCCATTGGTCACTTCAAGTTAGGCACAAACCTGACTCCAAGAGATGTTCCAGACGTTTCAAAAGTTGTTGAAAATACATCTCCGGGGCATGAAATTGTAAAAATTAACTTATTAAGTGAAAAGTGGAGGCGTGCTGAAGTTGAGAAGTCTGAGCAATTCCTTGCAGATCTAGAAGCAGTTTATGTGTGCCTGCTAACCCATCCTGCAAAAATTATTACTTTCTAGTTTCTGCCCAGCAATTTGTCTATTATTGTGATTGTTTGGTTTTGCTTGAATAAGCGTAGCTATTGCTCTTCCATGTCCTGGGGTGCTGTCAATTAGTACCCCAAAACCCATCATCCCACCATAATCGCATCTTATCCATTCTATTTACTTTCAATTTTCTTTCATTTTATTGCTCCAGTGTTATAATATTCCACCAATTTACTTGGACGTGACATTTATCATAGAACACCATTTAGAATTTATTTTCTTAAAATCTGTCTCAACCATTCTCTTTAAATACGCAGGATCCATCTGGCACTTTTATTCATCCCTCTGGTTCTGAGCATCGTATTGGGGAGCTTGTAAAATTTCTCAGAGCATCCTATGGGGACAAGCGGGGAAAAAAATATAGGATTTGGGTGGACAGTGTATTGGCTACTCAGCTTAGTTCAGATGCTTGGCTGGTGAAGTTTCATACGTGGGAGTCATGTGGTAAGCAATTTTTTCATCCTCTCACGTTGCTAGACTATCGTGGTATTTGATTCCTCTTCTGCTGCATACCTTAGGAAAAGCTATATGTTTACGTGTTGGACTCTTTGCCATGTGGCATGTGTAATAATCTATCTACATGGAACAGTGGCTGGACATCTGTAGGATTGTTGGAAAATCTCCCCAGATGCCTCGAGTTAAATTTGATTTGTGTATATTGTCTTCAACTCTACAGGTGAGACGCGGCAAGGATGTGTGCACACTGTCATACTAAGGAAAAAGGTGGGTTAGTGAAGTTCAATGCATTGAGTAATTTTTCATGATGCCCCTTTATTGTTCACTGAGACGAGTGAAATATGACTTTCAGGATTCGGGCCAGTTCACGTGGGTGCATGTGCACCAGACACGGTTGGAACAGCCAGGGAAAGACGCTTAATCGCTTTAGCAGGTTCCTGAGGCATGATTCTAAGTTCCAGAGTATCTTGTGATAACTTTTGCAATAAATGTGTTTCGACATGCTAATTTCTGAATATTAACTGTATCAAGACCCATCATGTGAAGATGCCTCCCGTTATATGTAATTATACTACGACGCTCCGGATTTCGGCGCTCATTAAAGATATGATGATTTTCATAACCTTATCCAATTTTATTACAGATCACTTCAGTTCAGTGTGATGTTCAGTTTGGGAGCAATCCAATCTCTGTTGTCACCTTTTTCCGCGAGGGAGGAGAATTGTGTTTTGCTGAATTCATTGAATGTACTAAGACCCTGTTGGGAGTATTGGAACAGGGAAGGAAATGTATATGCGAAAAAAACAAGAAAGGGAATGAAAAGCTGGACTTTAAAATGCGTTTGATCTGTCAAAAAGAATAAATGCATCTCTTATGTGCCTTGTTTTGGAAGATGTATTTGAATAATGCAACTCTCATTCAAAGAAGGGCGATTTCGAAGCTCCTCGATAGTAGCTAGAATGCACTGACAATGGTAAGGTTAGGGAATGACAGTGGTGAAGGCCTGAGGGGGGGCGGAAAGCTGAGAGTTTAACTATGACAGTTTGGAATTTGCTTTGGGTGTTAGTGCATTTTTGATATATATTACTTCCAGTTCTAATTATAAGAGTTATAAGAGTTAGTTGACTAATTTGAGGAGATTAAGAAAAGAGGTTAAGTTAGTTATTTGTAATAAATAGATGTTGTCTTTCTTAAAATATCTTTGCTAATTAAGTGTGTTAGCTAGAATTATCATTGTTAGAAGGAATACCTTAGAAAAAAAATATAAATATGAGAGACAAAATGGATTGGAGTCTTATATTTAGAATCAAAATAAAAATCAAAGAAAATCTATATTAAGGACCGGAAGTAGTATTTTATTCATAAAAGAGATGTAATAATGAAAAATAAATAAGGAGATGTAGAAGATGAAAAATAAAATAGATATATATGTTGTGTCATTGATAAAGAAATATTTGCACACAAAAATGCGCCCAAAGACAAAACTTTAGAAGGGCAGCAGATCTGCCGCCCCCAATCCACCCACATCAAAGGAAACAATGTATTTGACGCACGGACTGGGAGAGGAGGCTCTTCAACGGCATCCAACCTTCTTATCATCGCCAAATGTCCCCAATACCTATTGACTTGATTCAAAATATAAGTCACTTGATAAATTAATTAAAATGATTTATATTATGGACCCAAAAAAACATATTTATAACCTATTTATCACTTTTAATTAATTTTAACTAATTTTTTATTACTCTTAAGTCAATTATTTAAAAGCTCATAGTTAAAATAAGAGAGAATAGTAAAATTTTTAAAAGTGGACCCACCTCATTTTTAACTTTTTCTCTCTGCTTTTCAAAAGGCAAAACCCGTAAGTTTCAGATTTTTACTTTTGATTGGAAATCGTTTTTCATACAAAAATTAAATTATCAAATCATGAATTCAAACACCATATGTTTATTTATCGCACGTTTAGCCATTCAGCCGCGGATGGATGGAAGCATATAAACGCCTAAACAACATCCTTACGATTACTTGCGGTTACTATAACCAAGAACATCAGTTCTGGAGAAGGTTGTCCAATCAGAATAAGGTCTTGTCGGAGAGGTTATTCGTTTCCATGGGGTAAAGAAAAAGAAGATGCCGAAGGCCCCAACTGGAGGAAGAACAAATAGTCAATGGATGACTGGCTGCTTAGTCATTCACAGAGAAAAGAAAAATTACATCATAACAAGGGCCCAACCGGGTTCGAACCGGTGACCTCTTGATCTGCAGTCAAATGCTCTACCACTGAGCTATGGACCCTTTGTTGATCGCGATGTATCATATCATCACTTATAATAACTCATTAACTCTGCTCTATCAAAGCCCATGGTCTCGTCAAGCCTCTTAACAGGCCGTGGTGAGATGACCTCTGGAATAAATAGCGAAACTAAAATTTTCCAAGTCCCAAAAAAAATTTCAGCACCATAAATTAAAATAACCTGTTTGTGCTTTTGTCATATTTGGAAAGCTAAATAAAGATATGAATGGTGGGGGCATGTGGAATGGGAGATTCATATCATGGGTGGGTCACATGAAGGAGAGACAAACCCAAAACAGAGAGAGAGAGAGCCCAGAAATATGTGACGCATACATAAATTGAGTCGCCATTTTGTGGGTCCCCAAAAAAGGAAGCTTCCCTGTTTGAGGTCTTCCCCTAGCCATTAGTGTGAATGGGAGGGTCAAGATTCTTATAGTGCTAAATAAGATAGGTAAACAAAAGCGACCGTCTGCCTTACAGAGGAAGAGGCTAATTCCGTTTCCACATGTTCCGTATATATACAGAGACTCCAACAACCACATTCACTTTCTTCCTTCTCCTCTCATAATTTTCTTCCCCGGAAAACACAATGATTCTTCGTCCCCTCTTTTCTTCCTCTTTTTCTCCCCATTTAATGCCTCTTTCCATGTTCTTTGTCTTCCTGGATCATGCCTAGTATCTTCCTTCTTCCTCCCTCATCCAAATACATCCAATAATTTTACAAATTCGGAAGCAGAGCAGAGAAGATGACGATGGATAGCCCTACCAGGTATGGGTTGGTGGCCGTGTTCTCCGTATCGGCAAGTATGGCTTTTCTGCTTCATCACCTCCATAAGCGATTGGTGTCTGACTTCATGAACAAGTTTGAGTTCCAAATCTCTGGTACTGCCACTCTCTCTCTCTGTTTTTCGTTTTCTTTTCTAATCTTTGAAGTTATCTTTCCGGAAAGGTGGAATTTTTGGTTTGGTGTTAAATGTGGTGAAATTTGTGAATAAAAGGTAATTGTGAGAAGGGACAAGGGAAGAAGAAGGTGCGATTCGCAGAGAAAGTGATAGTGGTTGGAGTAAAGGAGGATGGGAAGACGAAGGGTTATAAGAGCAGAGAATGGAGGGAGGGTGCTCCTAGATTGGAGGATGTAATGCCTCCCAATAGGGCAGCTCTTTATAGAGGCATTATCAAGCATAGGACCCTTCGTTTCTGACCTCTTTTTTTTTTTTTTTTTTTAAATTCTGCCAGACACACGCCGTAATCTCTTTATTTCCATCATTCTATGAATCTCTAATTTTGCCTTCCCTCTATTTTTCTTCTTCTTCTTAATCCTGTCTCACTCATTACTCATTGATTCATTTGAGCTGCTCTCTGTGTTTTTCACGAATGGCTTCTATTTATTGAGTAGACTGTCTGTTACAATGGTACGCCGTCGTCTAATTGACTTAAATAATGTTTAAAAATGTAGACTGGTATGTACAGTTAAAATTTAATTTAAAAAGAGTGCGATCATATCAACACTAATGCACAGGATCCTATCATAACTCCGCAGTTAAGTGTGTTTGGATAAGAGTAGTACTGAAATGGTTGACCTTTTAAAAAGTCCTCGTATTAAAAAAAAAGTAATTTAAAGGAGTTGGGATTACAATAGAGAGATAAGATAAACCGAATTAGAATTATCTATGGCTCCAGACTCCGCTCCATTATGTATGGATGGATTGGTGAGCTTAATCATGTTCTGGTTTATTACTTAATTTCTTTATCTTTTCAGGTACTATCAATCCCCGAAATATAATATTTTGGCGCAGTGCCCTCATTCTTGTGAGCCTATGTAACGAAATAAATGTTTCAGATTCACTCTCTTCCCGATAACTAGAATATTTTTCATTTTCTTATACATAAGGATCGTTTTAATCCGGTAAACAGTTCACATCTACTTCAATAACAAATACATAAAAAAGTTCAGATTAATTTCGACAAAATATAATTAAAGTAAAGGAGGAGGAATATAACACACATAAATCCACGTATATGGTAATATACGCGCGATTATAAAACAAATATGGGATCACAAAGGGGGAGACATATCTTTTCTTGGCCAACCAAAAAGACGAAAGTTCCTTTTTGACCCTGTGAAGTCTTTCTCGTGAGCTCACGACTTATAGCTGGTGAGAGTCACGATTGATGTGATCGCTATTATTTACATTCTTAAGCATACTCTAGAAGAATTTGATTCTGGTAGTTAATTTGGGCCGAACCCAATGGGCCCATGACAGTGAGTCCAAAGTATTTCAAGATTAGATTTTAGAAGATCGTCCTTTTCTTTTTTCTTATAATCGGTTTTCTATTTTTAAAAGTACAAAAATATCTTAATAATAAAATAATTTGTAAAATTCATAAAATTAATTAATATAATTAACATATATTTAAAATATTTTAATATAAAAATTAATTAAAAATATATTAGTTAATAAAATAAAAGGTAAACTTGCAGGCATGCTTTTTACAAAGGTAGAATTTAAGATATTTTAAAAAGATTCTAAGAATTCAGACTTTTAGACCAGCCCGTTTATTCAAATTGTTAGGGCCAAACTTTACTATCTATACCGGTGTTTTAAAATAAATATGCTTTATTTATAGTTAAAAAATTATTAAATTTAAATGATCTTTTGGGCCAGGGCTGAAGTGAAATCCACTTAATGCAGGTGACGCCCAGACAATCTGAATATCCTATTTATACCCACTGGCACGGATGAATTTATTCGCAATTGTAATGTTTTTTTTTTCCAAAGAAAATCTATTTCCAATTTATGCAAAATAATTAAGAATGAGATGTCTCCGTCCCCTAAACATGAAAAACTTCCTTCTCAATAAATTGTTCTGTCAATTAAAAAAAAATTACATTAAGAGGTAACTTTGCCATGTTCCTGAATGGCTCGAATAGATTTATCAGGCATGTTTTGTCCTTTGCGTTTATGCACAGCTCGCTTAACAATTTATTCCCCATTGCATGAAAAATTATATATATATTTATATATTTACGTCAGAATTTGAGAAATAGAGAAGCCGATTCACAATTTGTGATTTGAGCCATTTGTTATAAATTGCATGATGTGAATTGATACTTTCATGTATAAAGAAACCGATGACAGCGTAGTAAGTAAGGAATCAGCTCATAAATTATAACTTATAAAGGGTGTTGTTAGTGAATGATTTGTAAATACCTTCGTAAATATTCTTTTAAGTCTGGAAGCATAACAAGAAATAACCTGGCAAGATTACGGGCCTTTACCTGGGCAAGATTATGGTTTTGTTTGTTTCTGGGGACTTCGTTTAGGGTTGCTGGCGTGTTTTCATTTTCTGTTGTTTTTTTTTGGTTAAGGATGACGTGGTGATGACACAATGGACTCATGTAAACGTATCTTGTTTGATTTGCATATTATTCATTCATTCAATTATTTAGTGCAATTGCGGCTATAACTAGACTTCTCTCTAATTGTAATCACAAAAGCAATCATCACGGACGGTTTCCGTTTTTTTATTACTTTTTTAAAATGGGCAGGGTTTCATTCTTCATCATCCTTTTTCTGGAATAGTCTTTTTTAAAAAATTATTTTGTGAATAATTATCCTTGCATTTAATTAGTCAAGCTATCAGGTCTCGGAAATTCGACCCCCTCAGATGAAATATAGTCGCAGTCTCGTATTAACGTAAAATAACAGTTCCGGCTAAAATAATGTAAAATACCACATTTGGTCCTAATTATAAGAGCTAGTTGATTAATTTGAGAAGACTAAAAAAAAAAGAAGTTAAGTTAGTTATTTATAATAAATATGGGTTGTTTTTCTTAAAATATCCTTGCTAATCAAGTGTATTAGCTAAAATTATCATTGTTAAAAAGATTACTTTTAAAAAAAAATATGAGAGATAAAATGGACAAGAGTCTTATATTTATGATCAAAATAAAAGTTAAATAAAGTTTTATATTAAGAATGGAAGATAGTAATAAGCATTTTGGTTATGTAACGGCGGTTTCAAAGAACATTAAGGTTAATTAAACTTCTCCTTGCTCAAAAAAAGATTAAAAAAAAGGTTAGTTGAACCTCGTCGCACTCAATTCGATCTTGCAGATCCATCCCTGGAGATGGTTTTCATAGATTTGGCACTTGGTCGCGTGTGTGTGTGTGTGTGCTTTTTTTCTGGGGGGAGGGGTGAGGCATTTATTGATAAAAAAAAGTAATGGGCTTGAGATTAAAACAGATAAAAGAAAGCTATAAAAGCGAGCGACTCATAACAATTTCAGGGAAACCCAAATCCCATGACGTGGGTGGCTGCCTCATTTCTTCGTCAAATTAAGGTGTGGCCCGCCTCATTGCCTATTGACGACGCTGATATTATTTTTATTATTTTTGATGCCAATACACACACATAAGAACATTATTAAAGGTCAGAAATCTAGCATTGGTTCATGTTTTATATGCATGTTTACCTAATCGTTGCCCTGTGTTATATATATATATATATATATATATATATATCTATAAATATATGTATATGATGAACAAGAAGAATGGAAGGGATCTCTCGGGACAAATTGGGGTTTTGACCCTACAAGTCAAAGGATCACGGGAAGAAGTAAAAAGGGACAAGGGAGAGTATAGTGTGGCCACGAACCAATTTGACCATTAACCACTATTCATGACGCTGTCTTCCGCGCAACTCAGAAATTACGGCTTCCATGCAAGGGCCTGCCTCATTTGGGTCCCCTTTCTTTTCGTCGATTTAATTGGAGTTAGTTGGTGTAACCGTATGAGTAGAAACTAAGAATCACAGAATCATCGGACGTTAGGTTTTTTTTTTTTTTTGTTGGAATAAAAAATACCTTCACTATATTTTTTCCCCCAAAACTCTCAACTCGGTTCATTCGTCATGCCAGCTATCGTAGCAACTAGCAACCTCAAGTCGTGGCTACCTCATTATAATAAACAACTCATACCATTTGTTTTAAAATCGTTATTGTATATATTAGATGTAAAGGCGTGGCTTTCATTAAATTATCATAGTTATCTTTAGATTTAATATCATAAATAAACATTGATGACATCAGCCAAAATGGTTTGAAATGACATATGGGCGTACATGGATAGAATGATATGATACTCATGCAAGTCTCTTTCAGAGGATACGTACAAAATGGGCATTTGGGTGCGCAGTGAGGAGGGGAGATGCCTGGGTTTAGTGTTTAGGACGAAAGCGTGGAGGCGGGTCAATTACAGTGAGTTAGAGGTCCCACATCTTTTTGGCCTTCAGTCTCTCTCAAATAGTTGGATTAAAAAAATTTATTAAATTAGTTATTTACTATAATTATATGTTTTTAAAAAATATTCTTACTGATTATATGTATTAGTCAGAATTTTATGAAATATTTAACGTGCACCTATTTATAAATATTACTTCAGAAAATTAGATGAAAAATAAAATAAAATGAATTAAAATTTTATGTTTAAAATTAAATTAAATTTTAAACTAATTCTGCTGAGCAAACAACTTAAACATTGTGAGCGGAACAAGTTCTGTTAATAAAAGGCTGTTGACTGTTGCCATGGTTGCCCTGTTTATGGGAGGGCAGGAGTCGCCATCCCCACATTAAGCAACATTACAGCCTTCCGGACACATCTGCTGCTTCGTCGTCTTCCTCATATATTCCTCTTCCTTCTGCTTCTCTTTCATTTCCTTCTTCTTATTGATTACTTATTACTGACTTCCCTTTTCTTTCACACTCCTATTACCCTCTTCCTTATTATTTTCCGCTCCCCTGCCCTTTTGTCTCTCCTTTCAAAGGGCTGCGATCTCCTGCCGTTTTCCTCTCCCCCGTCTCAATTCCTTCATGCCGCTTTAATTCCTCCTACGCCTCGCACAATCACAAACTCACCTGCAATTTCTCTCTTTTACACTTTCTCTCCGCGTCGGAGTCAATTTTGGCCCGCCCCACCGAATTAATTTCGCTTGCCATATCCCCCTCCACCATCTCCTATCATAGGCTACTGTTTCATATGTCGAAGGCGAGGCAGATGAAACTCCAGCAGGCGGCTTCCAACCGCCGCCAACACCTGCTCAAAACCAATTACGCCTCCTCCAGGAGGACCCGCCTAGGGGAGGTCGTGGGAGGCACCGCGGCGGAGTGCGCCGTTGTGTGCTGCTGCTGCCCCTGTGGGCTCATCAATCTGCTGGTGCTCGCATTGTACAAGGTGCCGGCGGGGCTGTGCCGGCGAGCCCTGAGGAACAAGCGGCGGCGCAAGCTGCTCAACGTGGGGTTTCTACCGCAGAGGCGGCGGCGCTGCAAATGCGGGTGCGAAGAGGTCGAAATTCCAATTCACCCAATCGGCTGCGAGGACACCTTCTCCGACATAGAGTGGCGGAAATCGGAAGAGTGGGATAAGGGAGCGATGGAGCTGGAGAAGGAGATGTGGGATATGTTTGCCAGTACTGGGTTCTGGAGGAGTCCTTCCATGAGAGAATGTCCTCAAAATCCGATTCCTTCTCTGAACTCCACCGATTCCCTCCTCCAGCTAACTTCATCCCAACCCGATTGTCGTTGAGGTCATCGTTGTCGTCTTCACAACAACTAGGGTTTTCATCTTCTTTCTGTGGGATTTGTGTGTTTGTTATCGATTGAATTTTGAGTGCCTGTGAGGGGTTATTGTGGATTGGGGGGACTCCGAGTGGGGGTTATGGAATGCATTTGGGTGGGTTTGAAGGGTCAACCTGGATACCATGATTTCCTTGATTCAAGAAATTTGAGGCCCTGTGTAAATATCTGGAAATTTCCTCTGGGTGAAGTGGATTCAACTTAAGACGCCGATTATTGGTTGGTGTTTCGAGGGGAATGCAGAAATGCATCCAAATCCAGCCATTACTCAACTCAATCATTCTTTCGACGATTAAACCGAGTGCAAAACATGCATTATGGGATCTTGCTTTTTGGAAATGATGTAACATATTCGAAATCCAACGATGTCTCAATGTTGGTAATGTCAACTAGCATCCAAATCTTTCATTAACTCAAAAAAAAAAAAAAAACGAGCTGCATATGGTCTGGGAACAGTTTTATTTCTACTGGGAATTGTATAAAACTATAAAACAAAACAAATCAAATTAAAGTTGCAGTTGTGCTGATGGATATTTAGAGGAAGGGTTTTTTGGATTGAAAGATATTGAGAAATTATATTAAAACCTATGTGTCGCTGTGAAAGTTAGTGTGACTTTTTTTTTTAACCCTAAATATAAGATCCCGATTTATTTTGTTTTTTGTGTTTATCTATTTTTTAAAATAGTTCTTATAATAGTTACACATGTTAAAAATTTTACGAAATAGTAATTCTAACTAATGCACATTATTACTAAAGATATTTTAGAAAAAACAACATATATTTATTATAAATAACTAACTTAACAAACTTTCTTAATCTATTTAAATTAGTTTATTGTATTTTGTATTAAGGAGTGAAGGTAGTATTAGAAATAGTAGACAGGCATTTGGAGAGTTTGGGGTACATGAGGCTTGGAATTGGGGGTATGCGCGGGAGTGAAGCGAGACAAAAGAAGGTTTGCTTCCTTTGGATTTGGTGGGAATATTGGGAAGGGGACGGCAATCCATTTACGGGATTCGCATGGACAGTGAATGCGGGCATTAAACTTGAGGATCTTACAGATACGCTTTCTCAGTTGCAATCCTATTACTTCTGCCGTCCATACCCAACATATTTTTCAAACTCTCTCCGTGTCTCTGGTTCCACTCTGTTCTTCATGTGCCCCATATACATCACACTTGGTTATCCACCGCTCACTGTCCCACATCAAATATTGAAAACACATTCCACCATACCTAATTCCTGTTGGGTCAGAACCATCAGTAGTACAACTCGGCATTCATTAAACTTTGCTGAAGCTACCAAGTGCCAATCATGTAGGTGCGTTGATCGGGTATTTTCCTGCAATATATAATAGCTTAAATTTTAAAAAGAATGTATTCCGACCAAATAGCATTAAGGGACTTCAATTTAAGCTGTTCAATAGCTTTTCTTATTTCATACGCATAGCTCTGAATGAGGAAAATTTTGAAATAGTTAAGGAATATATATATATATATATATGTATGTAAAATATCATTTTGTACCAAGCTGCATTCTGAAATAGAATGTTGTATAGTATTACACTTTTTTTCCCCTTGTTTCTCCAACGCCTGCTTGAATATATGAAATAAGTTTGATCGGCAAAGAAGTAAACTTGATGTGAAACGAAAAAGAGAAAAGGCGAAGAGATAGGATCAGAGAGAAGGGAGAGTAGAAAAGAGAAAAACTGAGAAGAAAAATAAGCAAATTCAATATCCAAATCTATCATTAAAATAAAAATCTGATACTCCTCCGACCCTAAATATAAGACCCTTATACACGTGCTTATACACACGTGTATAAGGGTCTTATATTTAGGACCGGAAGAATAGTGTATAAATCCTAAACAATTAAAGTATTTAAAATAATTTACCCAAAAAAAAGTATTTAAAATAATAATTAAAAATGAAAATAAGGAGAAGTGAGGGTTGGAGGTAACTGCCCACTACGAATTAAACAAAAAAATTAATTAAAATAAAAATAAATTAAATTAAATGGATTAAATGGAGGTATCAAAACTTTATACTCATTTTTATTTTGCTTATGATTTTGTTCGCAATATTTGAACTTTAACTACTATCCACATCCTATTTCGTCTTTGATGTCTGAATAAATACGTCCTATTTTTACATGGTTCTTATCTTAAATAGACGATATATTATTATGGATGAACAAGAGACATGTAATGTTGCATGTTACGATTTTTTTAAAATTTCATGTTGATATTAATATTAATATATTTAAGTTGAAAATCAATGTGGTTTTCTTTTCTGACCCTTTACAGGGCCTTGGCCCAACAGGTGTCGATACCATTGGGTCTTATTCAAAAGGCCCATGGTGGGGCTGGTGGAGCGAGGAGCAGATTCATCATCCCTACTGGAATGAACTGGTTGCAAGCGGTTGTTTTCGGTAAACTGGATTTTAATTTTTTTTTACCAAATGATATGTGAGAAAAATAATAATCAATCACAGTGATTTTTGCTTTGGTAAAAGTATAGTACTCCTCCGGTCCTTATTATAAGACCCAATTTGACTTTTTATTTGGTCCTAATTATAAGACCCAATCCATTTTCTCTCTTATATTTATACATTTTTTCCAAGATAATCCTTCTAATAATGATAGTTTTAGCCAATATACTTAATTAGCAATGATATTTTAGGAATAACAACACTTATTTATTATAAATAACCACCTTAACTTACTTCCTTAATCTCCTCAAATAAGTCAATTGGGTCTTATAATTAGGACCGGAGGAGTACTAAACTTTATTTACTGGTCAGAAAAAACTTTATAAGAGATTTTAATCTAGTCATTTGACTTTAAAAAAAAATTATTTTTTTCATTCTTCTAACTCTAACATCATTGATCTCAGCTAATAATTTTATGCAAAAATTATTGTTATTTAAAAAATTAAACTCAATATATCATTAATAATATTATTGTTATTTAAAATGAAACTTAAAAATTTTAAAAATTATACAGGAATATTTCGTTAATAATATCATGGTAGAATGATTGAAAGATATATATATTATGAAATTAAAACACTAAAATAAATTATTGTATAAAATTACATGACTAAATATACCTCTCCTGTTGCTTATTTTTATATTATTCACTCCCTGCGTGTGAAATATTTCATCCCATCTTTAATATAAGATATAGTTGACTAATTTGAGTAGACTAAAAAGTTTGTTAAACCAATTATTTATAATAAATATATGTTATTTTTTTAAATATCTTTACTAATTATGTGCACTAACTAGAATTATTATTTGATGAAACTTTTAACGTATGCAACTATTACAATGATCACTTTGAAAAATAAATAAATATAAGAGATAAATAAATTAATATTTTATATTGATGACCAAATTAAATATTAAATTAAGCCTTATATTAAGGAGACAGTGCTCAACCTTTGATCATGAATGTGTACAGCCTTTCCTACGTTCTCTCACGAGTTGGCTAATAATGAGTGGAATTCTCTTGAGCGTTTGTTTCCTTTTCATTTGTTTTTGTAAAAATTTTTTGAAAGTATTGTGGAAATGATGCAAATAAAATTGCAGCAGGCGTTTAAAATCACCATATCTTCACGTTAGGCGCAATCAAAAGCCTAAATTCTATATCATAAAACGCTGGCAGAAGAAAAGATTCTGTATCATACAAATGTTCCTAGCTTAAAGAGGGGGCTCATCTTTTGAATGGAAATCCCTGCACCAAAGCAACGCTGATGCATATCTTATTGCACACCATGCTGGAGCTTTTAATTCTAGATAGAATCTTTTCTTAATTATTTTGATTAATTCACCTTTAAATTTGTTTAATCATTTCAATACCCATAGACGTGTTTTTCAATTGCTTATCAGTGAACTATTAACACCTGTATTATAATTTGAACTCATGATTTTATAGGTTGTGGGAGATAATATTAATATTTATTAACCCTACAAAAACACCTAAAATATGTTACCTGAACCTTTTTTTCCCCCTGAAAAAAAAATCAGAGTAGCATACCCTCCTTTTTGCCCCCTTCCACTTAATTAATCCATTCTGTTTGCTGCTAGGTTAAACGGTGAGAACCCGTTTAAAATCAAACTAGTGATTATATAGTCCATTTATTCTGTTTGGTTGAATTTTTTGAAATATAAACAAATCGTGATTTCAGTTAGAATTTATAAAATAAAGAATAAAAAATTCAGGGACTTAATTAAAATAAGGTGAACTTATAAGGATTTGATAAAAAAGATAAATAAATACAAGGACCTAATTAAAAATAGGTAAAAGTATAATGACCTAATAAAAAGAAAAAAAACTATAAGGACCTAATTTAAAATTGGTTAAAACTATAAGGACTTACAAATTAATTATTCCTAATAATAATAAAATTTAAATTATATTTATATAATGATAAATATTATAAATATTATATTAAATTATATTCTTCTTATTTACTCTTATCGTTTTTTGGTAATTATATATCTATAAATAATTTTAATAAATAAAATAAAATAAATCCAAACAAAAATTATGATTAATCAGCGTCACTGTTAACTAGTGTTGTTTATAAAAATAATGATTATCTAAAATCATAGTTATTCACCATTAATTAAAATTATTCCATTAGGTAATTGCTTTTTTTTTTTTCAATCTTCTGGGAGTCAATGCTTTATTAGTTGCTTAACCCGGGGCTAAATTCGAAAATTAAAATGTTTTAAAGCTGAAAGGTTTGATTTTAAGATTCATGCACAAAAATTTTATGGGCCAAACAAACACCAGTAATTTGGCCGAAAAAACAAACATCAGTAAAAAAAAAAAAATTATCCAATAATTTAATGCAAATTGCAAAATAATTTCTAAGGACGGTAAAAAAACGAAAAGAATAGATTCGGGAGGAAGGCATCAGGGGATATGAGGCGAGGAAAGCTAAACAGGCGAGAGCTCCTGATGTCCCCCATTATTTTTTTGGACTGAACCGGATGTCCCCCATTTGATGCTGTGCCCGTGGGGGCGAGGGGTTTGTTTCATTTTCCAACGCTCACCGGGAAAATATAGAAAATAAACCCATAATTGAGGATTTTGAGGTTAACTACAAGACCCATTCTTTTTTTTCTTCTATATTATCGTCCTCTTTTTCCATTTCTGTCATAATTCCTCCCATTCAATTGTTGGGTTTTCGTTTTATTTGCTTTGGATCTCTAGCATCCTCTGGGTTGCCAATTCAAGGCTCGATCTCCTCCTGATGTGTGCTCCCTTCGTTTCTTGATCTCTTTTCTGGAGCTTGCCAATTATCAATGGAGGTAAACCCATTAACTGTTTTTGTTTGCATTCAAATTCCTTATAGACTTCAAGGCTTCTTGTCTGTTTTGTGTGTCTGGTTTCAACCCCAAAGGGTCGGTGTTTCTAGCAGGAGTTGATTCCAATGCATTCTTTGTCTCCAAAAGTCATTTTTTCCCTTGGGGCGTGATTCATGTGATGATATTCCTCATAACACCTAACTTTTGCTAGTTAACTTTAGAGGATGGCAGATTGTTTGAGGCGTCGTTTTGATATGAGGAACGTGGTTTATACTAGTATTTTCTGGGCGGCTAGCAATAGGTTGTATGGCGAACTACATTTGCGAAAAGATACAAATTTTAACGCTACTGGTTCAACATGTGGAAACCTGCGATGAAGAATCGTCAATCTTATCGGGGTGCATTGTAATGGTGGATGCTACATCCGTCCATGGGGTTTATAACGGTGTTACTGGGTTTTTTTTTTTTGACGTAAGTTGCACCAAAGATTTTGGCAAAAGATAATATTATTTTTGTTGGCGACTGGGATTCAGCGATTCTGAAGAAATAATATGGACTGGGATTATAAGCTGGTCGCGAGCCTTCTGTCCAATGTGGACAATGACTCAGAATACATTTCCTTTTGTTTATGTTGACAATATGATTTATTTAAGGGCAACAAAAGATTACATTTTCTGGTTATGAAATTTGGGCTGATGTATTGAAGGTTCCGGACATGGAAGACAAGAACAACGAAAGTCGTATGACGTCAGCTGCAGCCTTTGTGGAAGGGGGCGTTCAAGAAGCATGTGATGATTCTTGCAGCATATGCCTTGAGGATTTTAGTGAAAGCAATCCTTCAGCGGTAATTTTTAGTTGTGTACTGTTGTTGTACTAATTCAATTACATGGCAAGTGTGATTTTATTTCAAAATCATTTGTTTACTCCTATTCTCTCTGGCTTTTCAGGTTACTACTTGCAAGCATGATTTTCACCTGCAGTGCATTCTTGAATGGTATATCTTAATATATATATGTATATATATCGGATTTTGTGTATTAAGTTGCTTAATGATCCCTATTTTATGTGCTGGGTATCAATGAGAATGGTGTGAGATAACACGTTATTTATGACTTGTGAATAGCACTGCTGCGTCGATTTTATATTTGATATCAATATGTTGATTAGAAATGGAGGGTTAGAAATGTTGGTATAATGGTTTGCGTCTTTGCGATCAAAACTGAGCCATATTTGACTTCCTTGAACATTCATTCAATAATTTTGTCAACTACTCCATTTAGTTCCTAATTGTGGTTTTCCTTGGTGAAATGTCTCATTCTCATCTTACCAAGCAAACCAGAAGATATTTACTGTGACGTCCTAGATTTATCACCACCAGACTATTAGCATGCCAATTCCCATTTATAAGTAACTGGTCGCTAATAGTGTAAGATACATGTGAACCGTGGTGAGTTCATTGAACAGTATCACTGGCTTGTTAATCTTGTTTGCATGGTGATTATGAATTTGTTGCTACTTTTTTGAAATACTTAGACATGTCATGTATCTATAAAGTAAATACTGCCTACATATAGTTGTGACCTATAAAAAGAAAAGAAACTACAGAAATAAGCGCAACTTCCAAATAGGTTGACTTTTGATGATTAAATTTTTGTTTCTCTTAGTAGCTTGCTGTTTAATTCCTTTGTAAATTGCATGAACATGAATTTATCAAGTTTTCGATCCTAAAAACTGGCTATTTTGAGCTGCTGGCGGTTGTGAATTATTTAGATGCTTATGTTTCTGAAAATGGAAGAGGATGCCCTATTATTTGTAGGTGTCAGAGGAGCTCCCAGTGCCCTATGTGTTGGCAGTCTATTAGTTTCAAGGATTCTACAAGGTTTGATCATGTCTTTTCTTTAGAGCTTTGCAGTGTGTGTGTGTGTGTAGTTGGACGGTTTTTAAACTTGGAAGTATATTGTTGCAGTCAAGAATTGTTTGGGGCTGTGGTTCAGGAAAGGAATTTGAGAGCTACTTCCTCAAGAAATGCAACTATTTTCCATCACCTCGCTGGTCTTGGTGATTTTGACTTGCAGCATGTCAGTTATTTTTAAGTATCCAAATGAATTTGATTGTCTCTTATCTTTTGCGCATCACAATTCTATCATTATCTATTTCATGCGATATTTCTCTTTCTGTAGTTATCCATGGGAGTAAGTGAAGCAGATATTGAAGAGAGGATAATTCAACATTTAGCTGCTGCTACAGTCATGGGAAGAGGCTTCAACCTTGGTTGGAGAGAAGGAAATAGGACTAGATCATTCCCTCACGGTCGTCCTCCCTTCATAGTGTTCTCAACTCCTCCACCCGGTGCTGTGTCTGCTGCTGCAGGGGGAACTGAACCAACTGCAATTCCTATAGGAAATCCGTCTACCCCACTTACATCTGGAGTTGAACCATCACAGCAGATCCCAGCCCTTCAAACAGAGAGTTCTTTACCTCCTGGATATACTGACATGGCGACAAATCGTCAAAGAATTCTTTTTAATGATAGGTAGCTACAATCACATATTTCCTAATGGTCACTGCTAGTTGTGCTCGTTAGTGAAGTTACACACTTTCATACACCCTGCGGTTGTTTGCTTGTAGAAGTTCTGCTGTCCGTTCTGTACCACCTGACCAGGGCAGAGCAGGGCCATCAGAACTTCAGTCATTTTCCGAGTCTCTGCGATCCAGACTTGGTTCAGTGTCTATGAGGTACAATTTCTCTGGAAGCCACTCTGGCTGTTGCGCGTGATATAATAGTTTACTACACATATGAAAGCCCGCATTGCGGATGATCTACTTTTGTTTTTGACCAAATCAACATAACTGATATTAACTTGTTATGAAAAGATACAAAGAGACTATTTCAAAGGGCGCAAGGGGATGGAAGGAAAGGCTGTTCTCTCGTAGCACTTCCATGTCTGATATTGGTGCAGAAGTCAGGAGAGAGTTGAATGCTGGAATTGCTAGTGTATCCCGCTTGATGGAGCGCCTTGAAACAAGAGAAAAGAACGATAGACAAGGGGATAGTTCTTTGTCGAATCATGTGGCTGCAGAGACAAGCAACTCAAACAATGCCGAAGCTAGTGAGGTTAACACTCTGTGTGACAAAGCTCCAGCAGCTTGTTCTGCTGGCCCACGCTCAGACTGAGATCTGTTATGTTTCTGCTATTGCATCTTCCCTCAGCGTCTCATATTTGAAGGTAAGATTTAGTCCTGGTCCCCTTCCAGTTTCAGCTAGGACAGGTATTGTCGTCCATGAATCAAGGAGTACCCTAGCTTTTGATGATAATGTTTGTATATTCAATGTTTCTGGCCTTGTCGTTCAGTGGGGGATATGTTTGCACTTTGGTAAGAGTACTATTGATGGGGGTAATAAAAGGGGTCTCTAATGTTTGCTTTTCTTTTCCATCTCTTTTGATTCAGTTGCTATGAAGCATCAAGCATGGTTTAAACATGATTATATGAAGCCCTTGCGGTGTTGTTGCAGGCTAATTGATACTCCAGAAATGACATGCTGAGGAGCAGATGATTTGGGAATAGTCATTGCTATTATATGCTCGTATGCTCCAATTTACAATAAAATTTAACATCTGAGACACTTATGCTTCAAGTTATGTATGATTGATTTTCTTTTCTTTTTCTTTTTAAAATGTAAATATGATATAGATAACGGTGACGGCCGGCAATGTTGATGATTACTGCGTATTTAAGCAATTGGCGTCTACTCCGAACATATTATATCTTAAGGAGGCTGTCCCAATCTTTGCGACTGCCCACAGTCTGTACTCGTATTTGTTATCTTAATGCTGTGATGTCTCATTTATGCTATTTACGACACTTAAGAACAGCCTGCGCTGGCATGTACCGTAACCGAGGTTCATTTAATCTTTTCTTCCTCCCAATATCACCGAATTTGAATCGAGACTACGAATATTGTATGAACAGTGAGCTCTAAGCTCTTGACCTGAAGTTGTGATTGGTTCAAGCATGAAATTAATGCCGCCACGACGTCCGTGAAAGAGCACAAGCGGTTTAGATTGCTTTTGCAATCGCTGCATTAACGTTAATTAATAGAGTTCCTAGTTTCGGAACAAAGGCGAATGTAAAAGCAAGGAAACGAGCAAGGGGTGAAAAGGAAGTGAAGCATATCCTTCAAGGGGCCTTTTTTCATCCTCCAAATTCTGACCTTTTCCGAGGGTTACTATTTGTGAAAGCAACAGAGGTGAGAAATCGGAAACGAAGTAGGTCGGATATAAAATGATGCGAATTGACATGAGGTGTTGCTTTGTGAACTTTGGGAAATACGAAAATGTGAGATAGAAAGGAGGAATAAATAAAGCAAATAAGATCGAAGGAGGAGACTAATTAAGAAAAGGGGAAAGGGCAGGTGTGGGGGGAGAAGAGAAGGGATGGGGACAAAGGAACCACCGACGGATGAGACGTCGCCGTTTTGATGCCTCGGATGATTTCATGTCATGGAGGCCGGTGGGGGCGGGGGCTCATTAAAGAAAGGAGGATGAAGGAAGCTCTAATCATAGGGTAGGTGAGCGTCACGCGTGAGAAGGGCGATTGAAGGAGGACGTAAGCGAGGGCGAGACTGGACATTGATTTGTAGCTTAGCGTAGAAATGAGGCCATTTTTATTCATTCCCCCCAACACCGACACCTCGCCTTACATTATACCCCTTATTCTATTCTATTCAGCATTCTCCCACGTTTCATCTCATTTCTTTTCTCCTCCTGCCAATTAATTTATCATCATACGTCAAAAAATGTCCAGCATAGAGAGATTGTTATTCCCTCATTATATCATTTAAAAACCCTCATAAACAGAGCTCACTGATATTTTAAGAAAAAAAGTTAGGTTGGTGTGAAGTACTCTCACATTCAAAATTTTCTCACATTATTATTATTCACAAGAATAATGTTGCGGGGAGAGCAAATTATTTTTGGGCTATTAGAAAGAGAGAGGATATTAATCAATGAGACAGGCTGTCCGAACTCTCTCACTCCGAGCCTTCCATTTTCATTGCTTTTTAAGTCTCAGCAATAACTGCCTCCCAAGTCTTCTCTTCTTTCTTTTTCTTTTCGCCCCGCGTGTCCCTTCCCTCCCTCTTCTCCTTCTCCTCGCCATCCTCCCTCCTCCATTAAGCAATCTCCCTCCCCTCTCACCAAACAAAGTACCCCACTTCACTTTCCCTTCACTCCCTTCAATTATTCATCAATTCAGGCCCTCCTTCCTCCCTAACTCCAACACCATGGCCGCCCTCCCTTCTTTCTGCCGTGGTGTCCCCCCCTCCCGATCCTTCTTCTTCCTCTCTCTTCTTTTCCTTTCCCTTCTGCCATTCCACTCTGCCCAGAAATTCCCTTCTTCTTCCGGCTCCGGTCAGATTAACTCCAACTCTATTCTCGTCGCTCTTCTCGATTCCCATTATACTGAGCTGGCTGAGCTTGTGGAGAAAGCGCTTCTCCTGCAGAAACTAGAGGATACCGTGGGTGCCAACAATATCACCATCTTCGCCCCGCGAAATGAAGCTCTGGAGCGTCAGCTCGACCCCGAGTTCAAGCGATTCCTGCTTGAGCCCGGCAATCTCAGGTCCCTACAGACCCTTCTCATGTATCACATTGTGCCCAAACGAATCGGTTCCAATGACTGGCCCGCTGAGAGTTCTGGAGCTGTTCCGCATCAGACTTTATGCAATGACCACGTGCATTTGGCGAGCAAGGGTCCTGCAAGTAAGGTTGTTGGTTTGGCCGAGATTGTTCGCCCCGACGACGTCGTTCGTCCTGATGGTGTGATTCACGGCATTGAGCGGCTTTTGGTTCCGCGATCAGTTCAGGAGGATTTCAATCGCCGCCGGAATTTGCGGGACATATCGGCAGTTCTCCCTGAGGGCGCGCCGGAGGTGGATCCCCGCACCCACCGGTTGAAGAAACCCGCTCCCGTACCCGCCGGGGCTCCTCCTGTGTTGCCCATTTACGACGCCATGGCCCCGGGTCCTTCACTCGCTCCGGCACCGGCACCTGGACCCGATGGTCCTCATGGTCACTTCAATGGTATGCGTCAGGTGAAAGACTTCATTCATACTCTGTTGCATTACGGTGGCTACAATGAAATGGCAGATATTCTGGTTAACTTGACATCTTTGGCCACCGAAATGGGAAGGTTAGTCTCAGAGGGTTATGTCCTGACGGTGTTGGCTCCCAATGACGAGGCCATGGCGAAGCTCACCACAGACCAATTGAGTGAACCGGGTGCGCCGGAGCAAATAATCTACTACCATATCATACCGGAGTATCAGACGGAGGAAAGTATGTACAATGCTGTGAGGAGGTTTGGGAAAGTTCGGTACGACACTCTGCGGTTGCCACACAAGGTCGTGGCTCAGGAGGCTGATGGGTCTGTGAAGTTTGGGCAAGGTGAAGGGTCTGCATATCTGTTCGATCCTGATATATATACAGATGGGAGAATTTCAGTACAGGGTATTGATGGAGTTCTTTTCCCGGCCGAAGAGGAGCCAAAGACTGAGCGAAAAACAGTACCGGTCGTCAAAGTTGCCACTAAACCAAGGAGAGGTATGACATGATACATCTCTCTTAGATTCATGTCCGGCTGTTAAGTCTTTAATTCTTCATTGCTTTTGGCTTTTGGGGGTCACGGGGAAACCAATTTGGAAACTTCAGTGATAATTTAGGGTTTTGGTCCTCTCAGTTATCGTTCTTTGCTGAGGCATTTAGGAAAGTTACTGAGGTAGAGAGCAATAGAATGTTTTTAGTACCATGCCGCATATTGACATTGGCAAAACAGAAAGTTCAAGAGATGGCGGTTTTTTATGTGAATGGAAAAAAATTGGAAATCTAGCAACTTCTGGGTTAGTCTGATCGATCGAAACTAGATGGGAAAAGTTATTTGGTTCATAGAATTTGGCAACTTATACGTTGACCATCCGCGTGGCAAGGAAGATGGGATCCTGGTACCATTTTTTATTGCTGCTGGTGTAGTTTACTTTCAATTTTGAATTTGATAAGCTTTTAGTATATACAGTAGTTTTTGAAAAGGCTGGAAACAGCCTAGCTTTGCGATCCAGTGCCGATGCTGGAATACAAGCTGTGATGGTGGGCTGCTTGACTTTACTTTTTTCCGAGTGAAATTTGTGCCGCATAGTTATTTGGTGAATTTATTCCATTTCTATTGAATTCTCAATTGTACGTCAGTAGTTTTTAAATTTTAGGGCGCTTGCTCTTCATAATATAAATGGAAAAGTTCTGCTTAGTTAAAACTTAAAATAGTTGTTACGAGAGCATGATGGCTTAATCAGGGGTTTAAGGCCCCAGACGGTGAGTGTGGGGAGCTGGGAAAAATCCTCAGATTGAGAAGAGAGTGTTATGTCATGAATCCCTGAAAAATCATTAAAATTCCTGGATGATTCTGTTCCCTTGTCTCAACTTGTCCGTATGTAAAAAATAATTCAGCCTGCCAAGCTGTGAGCCATATTCTATTCTGCGCCCACCTCAATTTAGCTGCCGACACAGTCTGTCAAGACAATCATACATCCCCTTGTTTTTGTTTCATATCTTTTATGTATTTTATTTATGGTCAACTGGCACATTTCTTATTTTATTCAACTTCCAAGTGAGTACCAAATTTTGTTTCTATACGATTAGTTACTTGATACAATACTCTGGAGGGATATAAAAATCAACTTACTTCTATCTTGCTTATTTTCTTTCTTATTCAATACGTTTGAAGCTGCGCAATACCTTGTTATCAGTTGACTTACAATGTTATTCACCTAATATCATGTGCAGGGAAGTTGCTGGAAGTAGCTTGTAGCGTGTTTGGAGCTTTTGGACGAGTCTGCTAATCGAATCGTTTTCTCAACTAATAGCTTGGAAAAAATTAAAAATTTTTAAAAAATAATAATAAAGGGGTAAATTTATGTAAACAAATCGTTATATGGTAAGCTCGCCTACCTTTCATTGCATGGTTTACATCTTGCCTTCTTCATTCGAGTATTTTAGCTAAAGTAACAGTGTTTGTTGTCATTTGCGTAATGCAGTGGTAGGAGTAATCAGTTCAATACGAAAGGATGCATGTTGGATTTACAATTGGAGGGAGCGATAAAGTTGGCAGGATTTCCGTGGAAAACCCACAGAAGATAAAATCCTGTCATTTTGCTTTACATACTGTAATTACATACCATTTTTTTATTACTTTTTTTTTTTTGTGTTGATTCTGTCTCTGCCTGTCCCTGTGTATGCATAAATAACCTTGAAATACGACACTTATCTTCATCCCAGATTGCAAAAATTTTTCACTGCCTGTGTGAATTAAATTCATACATAGTCTACTCTTATTCTATTCTCTCTGCCTATTTTTACGTGAAACTCCTCTCCAGTGTTTCGATATTTTAGGGGCTTAATATTACCATTATTACCAGGCACTATTGTTTGAGAATGATTTGCTGACTAATTGTGAAACTGACTTCTGGGCAGAAAAGAAATTTTGGTTAAATGGACTTGGCTTTATCTTCCCCTTTTGGCGTAGACTAGTGAGCTTGAGAGGGTGCTTAACTGAAAGCAATATATTGATGGTGAGGGTGAGGGAAGTTGTTGAGGGGTTCATATTCCTGAACAAGACCGCATAGCTAATACCTTGCATGGCGGGTAAGAAAAGCCGAGTTAGGAATATGAATACGACTTTGGGCCGGTTACTTTTAACTAAATGTCTATATAATATTTATATCATAATATCATATATCATTAAAGTGTATGATAAGCTATATTATTCACAAATAAATTATTAATAGTTAAATGTATCGCAAAAAAGTAA